CCCCCCCCATGCTCTCTGTCTCTCTCTCAGAAAAAAAAATTTTTTAGCCATCCTTGTAGGTGTGAAATTCCCTCCCTCTTTTTCATCAAATAAACCGTTGTTATACCGGGGAGATGCATCTGGGAAGCACTTGCACTGCACTTAGTGGGGACTTAAAACCTCTTTTCATTTTACTTTTAACGTGTGGGAAATATGCAAATACACATATGAAATGTGCCTGTTAATGTTTTAAACAACACGCAGAGTGAAGGTGCCCTTTAATTCTCCCCATTTTAGGCACCTTCCTAGCCTGCTGTCAGGCAGCATGTTTCCAGAGTTTTCCATGCATTTATGCAGTTTTCCATTAAATTTTTTTAAGTTTATTTATTTAGAGAGACTGCATAAGCGGGGGAGGGGCAGAGAGAGAGAGAGAGAGAGAGAGAGAGAGAGAGGGAGAGAATCCCAAGCAGGTTCCACACCATCAGCACAGAGCCCTATGTAGGGCTTGAACCCACGAACTGTGAGATCGTGACCTGAGCCGAAACCAAGAGTCAGATGCTTAACCGACTGAGCCACCCAGGGGCCCCACTTTTCCATTGTTACAGAAAAAGCGTCCTACCACTTGATTTTTCAGTGACTTGGATCTCTTACTGAACACAACTTAGCAATCTTTCCCTGTTGGTGTTTGTAGGGATACACGATTCTTGTATTTTTATTTATTGCATAGTGTGGGTATGTTGTACTTTAAACAACATTAGCATGGATCGCCGAACACCGGTTTTCACGCAGGGCTGTCCGAGCGGCTTCCGGGGCTCGGTTTCCTGCCGGATGTGCCTCGTTGACCTTCTTTGCCTCCGCTTCACAGGCCAAGAACAAGGAGACGGGTGCCTTGGCTGCCGCCAAAGTAATTGAGACCAAGAGTGAGGAGGAGCTTGAGGACTACACGGTGGAGATCGACATCCTCGCCACCTGCGACCACCCCTACATCGTGAAGCTCCTGGGAGCCTACTACTATGACGGGAAGCTGTGGGTAAGGGCTGCCTGCCTGCCCCCTCCTGGTCCTTGTGGCCCGGTAGGCCGGAGCTAGCCAGGTTCACAGGTGCTCTGCTCTTTCTTAGTGTCTGCTTTGAGGGCCGGGGCCCGGGTAAGCAGAAGGTGAAGTAGGGCGGCTCTGGATCCCCTCTCCTTCCCTTTCTACAGAGCCTCCCCACTTTTGGGGGTGGGGGCAGTGGTTTGAGCAGGAAGGAATTCTTTTTGGACGGGAGAGGGGCAGAGAGAGAGAGAGACAGAATCCCAAGTAGCCTCCATGCCCAGAGTAGAGCCTGACACAAGGCTTGATCCCATGACCCTGAAGTCATGCCATGAGCCAAAGTTGAGAGTTGGACGCTTAGCCGAGTAAGCCACCCAGGCGCCCCATGGAATTCTAAGGCTCTGCCATTTATGAGTTAGAGAATCCTAGGCAAGCTCTTAACTTCTCTGTGCCTCAGTTTTCCCGACTGTAAGATGGGAGTAATAATAGTACCTGGCTCATTTGGTTATTACAGGGATCAAATAAATTAACTCATGATCGGTGTTTACAAGTGTACCTGGCAGGTGCAAGAGCCTGGTGACTGTCGACTGACGGACTGTTTGTATATGTTATATCATTTGCACTAGCGGTGTCATTACTGTGGCTGCTGTGTGGGGATTCTCTGCAATGGCAGCATCAGAGGAGGGGACCCCTTAACACCCCTCATTCTCCGCCCAGGAGCCTCATTGGCTGGATGTGCGCAGTGCGGGCGCAGCTTCAAGCCCCGCCTTCCAAACCCAGCCTCACTCCCTAGCCTCTCTAGAGAAATTTTGCAGGCTCCCTGGTTTTCATAGGACATGTCTGTCCTGCGGAATGGTTGTCCCATGGACACTCTTCTGGGATGAATGCCTCTCAGTTTATGAAACCCGGACTCCCTAGAACATACGTGTCTCTTCAAACTATTTTTCAGCAAGCGTTTTATATGTGGAGCAACGTGTTAATGTTCCCAAAACTCCGTTCAACAAAATCACGCGCAGGAATTCTAGATGCAATTGGAAGACTGTCAGAATCACACGTAGATGTTTTGCAAAGACATCCCAGGGGTTGGCAGGGCCGGGCACCTGCAGAGGTGCTGGAGCTGAGAGAGCTGGCCCAGGTCCGTGTTGCTGCACACAGCAAGGTTAATGATGATTTAGTGGTTACGAGGGGGATGTTCTCAGTGTTCAGCCTTCTATCGTGATAGGTTATTATGTGTAGAGAGAGTTACTATGTTTTAGTTATATTTTAGGAAATTAATGGAGAGTTTGGAGTTGATGTGCTTTTTAATTTTTCCCACTTAAAATAAGGGGAAATAGAGGCGCCTATGTGGCTCAGTCAGTTGGGCATCTGACTTTGGCTCAGGTCATGATCTCGCCATTCCCGAGATCGAGCTCCACAGCGGGCTGTGTGCTGACAGCTCAGAGCCTGGGGCCTGCTTCGGATTCTGTGTCTCCCTCTCTCTCTCTTCTGCCCTTCCCCCACTCATGCGCCATCTCTTTCAAAAATAAATGTTAAAAAAAGTAATAAAATAAAATAAGGGGAAATAGACCCTAGGTTTTTTCTTTCTGTACAAGATACCTGATTTTAGGAACAGGCTACTGATGCTTGATGGGGAAATCTGTGTTTCATTTGAGAAAAGGATCCTGCTGTTTTAAGAAAAACCAAAGGAGAGTTTAGGGAAACCACTGTCGGAGTTTATCCCTGTCATTTCACAGAAGTGAAGGAAACCAGTGTCTGAGGGGAGTGAGAATGCGGCCCCCTGGCCCTGCCCAGAGCTCTGTCCACTGAAACGCCTCCCTTTCCAATCCTGGGTGGAAGCCAACTTTCGTTTGCCTGAGAGTCTCTTTGGGGAGCCCCCCGGATGTCACTGGGGTATGAAACCACCACCACTGACTGCTAGATGCAGATTCCAAAGCCTTTCTCATCCCCTGTCTCCAGGCACGTTGGGAGGTGAGCGGGGTGGGGACACAGGTCCAGAGAGGGCGGGGCCTCTTGCTCATGGCCACGTACCTGAACCTGCTTGTTTCCTCTGTCCTGTTCATGGAGCTGCTTCTCAGAAAGTTCTTTCTTTTAAGAAATTAAACAAATACTGTATCTATGATCCCTGGAGAAAAATGAGAGGCTACAGAAAAACAAAAGAAAAAAAATGATTAAAACCATTCAAAATTTTGTACCAGAGATAACTGCTGATAAATGTAGAATATATTTTTCTAGGTTTCTAAAATATATACATATATGTACCCATGCCCACAGGTTTTTTTAAAAAAAAGAAAAATTGATATCATACTTATTACTTTGCCTTTTACTCTTTTTATTTAAGGTCTATTAAGAACACCTTTTCATGTCAGTGGGGGGACACTGCATCTTCATATTTGGTTTTTCTGTAGAATTCCATCTCCTGGCTGTGCCATTCTCTATTGTTGGGCATTTAGGTTGCCTTTTTTTTTTTTTTTTTTTTTTTTTTCTGTTATAAACAACTTTGTGATGGACCTCTTTGACTTTTTTTTTAATTTTTTTTTTTTAACGTTTATTTTTGAGACAGAGAGAGACAGAGAATGAACGGGGGAGGGGCAGAGAGAGAAGGAGACACAGAATCTGAAACAGGCTCCAGGCTCTGAGCCATCAGCCCAGAGCCCGACGTGGGGCTTGAACTCACGGACCGCGAGATTGTGACCTGAGCTGAAGTCGGATGCTTAACCGACTGAGCCACCCAGGCGCCCCCTCTTTGACTTTTTGTATGCTTGCCTGTGCCTCTTTAGGAGAATTTTTAAGCTTTTTTTTTTTTAATGTTTTATTTTTGAGAGAGAAAAACAGAGCGCAAGTGGGGAGGGTCAGAGGGAGAGAGAGAGAGAGAGAGAGAGAGACAGAGACAGACAGACAGGGACAGGGAGACACAGAATCCGCAGCAGCTTCCAGGCTCTGAGCTCTCAGCACAGAGCCTGACATGGGGCTTGAACTCACAAGCTGTGCGATCGTGACCTGAGCTGAAGTCGGACGCTTAACCAACTGAGCCACCCAGGCGCCCCTCTAATAGCTATATTTAAAAAAGAAAGAAACAGATGAAGTTAATTTAAATAATATCATTTATTTAAGCTGGTATATCAAAAATATTATTTTGACATGGAATCAATAGAAAAATTATGAATGAGACATTTCACTTTATTTTTCATTCTAAGGCTTCAAATCCAGTGTGTGTTTTACACTTACAGCACGTCTCAATTCAGGAGCTACATTTTCATCAGAAATCTATATTTAGATGTCGTAAAATTTACTGTTGACAAAGTAGATTCAGTGTTGTCTCCACATTCTTAAATGTTTCCTAGTAACAGAATTGAGTGTCAGATTTTTTTTTTTCCAACGTTTTTTTATTTATTTTTGGGACAGAGAGAGACAGAGCATGAACGGGGGAGGGGCAGAGAGAGAGGGAGACACAGAATCGGAAACAGGCTCCAGGCTCTGAGCCATGAGACCAGAGCCCGACGCGGGGCTCGAACCCACGGACCGCGAGATCGTGACCTGGCTGAAGTCGGACGCTTAACCGACTGCGCCACCCAGGCGCCCCAAGTGTCAGATTGTAAATTTAAATTGATTACAAGTGAGTAAAGTTCTACATTAGCCGCATTTCAAGTGCTTGATAGCCATGTGTGGTTAGTGGTACTGGCTTGGACACTGTCGACAGTGCAACTCTGGAGGTAGACCCAGGGCCCAAAAATGAGGGAGTGCAGGAAACGTTGGCTGCCCTCATGACTTTCCTTGGGTTTAAATTTTTTTTTTTTAACGTTTTATTTATTTTTGAGACAGAGACAGAGCATGAACGGGGGAGGGCCAGAGAGAGAGGGAGACACAGAATCGGAAGCAGGCTCCAGGCTCTGAGCCATCAGCCCAGAGCCCGACGCGGGGCTCGAACTCACGGACCGCAAGATCGTGACCTGAGCTGAAGTCGGACGCTTAACCGACTGAGCCACCCAGGCGCCCCTTTCCTTGGCTTTATAATGGCCCCTCCTCACCAGCATCCCTCCGGTCCCCAACCCCTGCCCTGAGCCAGATTTTGGCCTCTGGCAAAGTCTTTCAAGGGTTGGGTGTGTTTTCCTATAGGTGTTTGGGAGTGGGAGAATGGGACGATGGGAAATTTGTAACAGTCACCACCTCCCGAGGAGAGCAGCCCCGGCGTGTACCGTCTGCCATTTTCTGTGGTATGAACATTCCCGCTTTGGTTAATTTCAGGCTACAAACACCATGTCGCTAACAGAGTTGGAAAGAGGTTTGCAATGGTATTCCATGATAAAGTATTTCTGCCGCACAGATTTAGTAGATGTAAATAATCTCAAGTGCATAGGTGATAGTAGAATGTGGTACAGTCGTTAGGGAAAGGATAGGTCTTGAGTGTTTATAATCTTTGTTTTCAACGTAAGTCCAAAAATTATAACGTTATATAACTTCATTTTTAATAGTGGTTGTGTTTAACAGCTGGCTGACGACAATTCCTGAAAATTTCACAATCAGTTTCCCAAGCCAGTGAATGCTTGCTCTGGCATACCACTGGAGCCAGACCAGAGGAGTGTTGACTAAGCCACGGGACACTGCCGCTGGGTATCACACAGCCATCCACTCATTTGAAAGATGAGACAACTGCAGGCCAGACACGGTCCGGGATTTACCTGAGGTCACACAGCAAATTAGTCACAAGGCCAGACATACGGAAGTCTTCAAAGACCAGGGATGAGAGAACCTACTCGTGTTACACTGCTCTATGGAAAGCCCTTCCACGGCTCCCCAGAATATATTCCAAATCCATTACCCGGTACACAGGCTGTGGTCTCCCATCAGCGGATGCTTTCCCAGACCTATTCTAAGCCCCTTGCAGGCGACACCCCCAGACCTTTGCTCATCTGGTACCCTCTTCCAGGCGTGCCCTTCCCATCGTCATCTGTGGTCAACGAGAGCATCACTGCCTCCATGAGGCATTTTCACTTCTTCCCTGT